CTGCACCCCATCCCCCGCCCCCCACCACCACCACAGTCATCCTTATCACAGTTTCTTTCATTGCCTACTCAGTTGCCTGGCTTCCTGACTAGACAATAAAACCTCTGATCAGCATCAAACCTTATCAACAATGTAACCATAACACCTAGCACAGTACTTGACGCTTGGTAAGCAATCAATATTTTTGTATGACTGAATAAAGACAAAGCCATTTTTACTTTTCAGTCCATTCAAAATATGCACACGCCGGGCTCGGTGGCTCAGCCTGTAATCCTGCGCCTTTGGGAGGTGGAGGTGAGTGGATTGCCTGAGCCCGCAGGTTCAAGACCCATCTGGGCGGCGAGACCTCATCTCTACAATAAATCAAAAAATCAGCTGGGCGTGGTAGCGCATGCCTGTAATTCCAGCTACTCGGAAGGCTGAGGCGGAAGGATCGCCGGAGCCCAGCAGGTCGAGGCTGAGGTGGCCGGGAGCGGCCACTGCACTCCAGTCTGGGCGACAGAGTAAGACTCCAACTCAAAAAAAAAAAAATGCACACGTGCACTCACGCTCTCTCGCTCTCTCTCTCTCTTCCTCAAAATACAGGTTGGCTGACGAACTAAAAAATAGCTATGAAGTTGTGTATTCTGCTTGGTTGCACAGTGGAAGAGAAGCTGCCAGTGAGACACAAACTCTTTCAGCCTTAATTTCCTCATCGGTAAGATGGGACTAGTAAAATCTTACATAATTCAGCAAACAATAGCAATTATATCTAGATCCCAATTCCCAAATAGTGATGGAACTTGTCTCTTGCTCAGAAGAATCAAGCCCGTGACTGAAACTGCTCACCAGGTGGCAGTATTACCATGGACTGGTCCTGTTCTGCTTCCTCTGCAGAGCAAGACCAGCAGTCATGGGACAGACAGCAAACGTACAACCCCGGCTGCTTCCCCAAGAGCTTTGGGTGAAACTGGGGAGGGGCAGAAAAGACTAGAAACGGAGGCATATGTCAAAAAGGCCTCATGTTTCTTAGACCCAACCTCCTCCTTTTCTTATCCCAGTTTCCTGTGAGGCACTGTTTATGCTGAAGAATAAGCATTCTCTGGCTCGCCATTCACAGTCCAGGGAGCTTATCCCCTTCTAGGTAAGTCACTCTATTCCCACCAGAGCTTCCTGCTTCCACTTCCAGTGGAGAGTGTATCAGAAGAAAGGAAAATTTGCTTTTTCAGACTGCAGAGGGCATCTCATTATTCTGGGAAGACCCGCAACACTCATTCCTGGGACATGGAGAGTGGCAGGAGCCAGGGTTATTCTTGGCTATAGATTTCACTCATCCTTTTCCACCTTGATTTCAATGAATGAGTTCAAGTCAAGACAGCAGGTTTTGTGAGGTTGATCAAAAGATGGGGAGACAGGCACATTCTCATCGCCTCCTTCATCTTCCTCTTCCTGGAAATTAGGATTATAAAGTTCTGGTGGAAGGAGCTGGGCTTCAGCAGAAGGCAGTCTGTCGGAGGGAGGCCCATAAACACGATTGGCTTTGGTGCCATGCTTAGAGTTAGCATCCAGGTGGTAGCAGAGCTCTGTGAGGCGCTGGGCCCGGAAACGGGGAGGGCGGGCCACCCAGACACCTGGCTCGTTAAGACTGTCTTCTTCATCTGACATCAGCTCTTCTGTCACATCCTTCCACAGACGTTGGTCCTCAGGTCCAAAATGCCTCATGATACTGGATCGGTTGGCAAAAAGCTAAGGTAGGAGCCCAGAACAGAGATCAGGAAGATAAACAGACTATGAATTAGATTTGGGTAACATCTATGCCTAAGATAACCCAGGGCCCAAGTCAAATGTTAGAATTGGCTCATCCTTCTCTTCTGCCTGCCTTTCTGGCTTGCAACCCGATTCTCAGATGCCACGTTCTCCGGTCCCTCCCACTGTGGCTTATTAGGGTTCAGACTTTAGCATCTTGAAAGAAATGCCTAGAAACGTACCCGGTATCGGCGACTTCGAAGTTTCTTCTCCTCTTTTTCCTTCAGGCCTTTAAAAGGGTTCAGAGAGTTGCGGTACTCACGCCTCTTAGTAAGGAAGTAGGCCACACAGGCTCCTGGTGGGGGGGCAGAGACGAGGGTGGGAGCAAGAAGCAGGGTCCTCTAGAGTAGCAGTCCCCACCCTTTTTGGCATCAGGGACTGGTTTCATGGAAGACAATTTTTCCATGGATGTGGAGGGATCATCAGGCATTAGATTCTCATAAGGAGCCTGCAACCTAGATCCCTCACTTGCACAATTCACAATAGGGTTTGCGCTCCTATGAGAATCTAAAGCCTGGGCGGGCTTGGTGGCTCAGCCTGTAATCCCGCGCTTTGGGAGGCTGAGGTGAGTGAACTGCCTGAGCCCGTGGGTTCGAGACTTGCCTGGGCAACTTGGCGAGACCTCATCTCTACAATAAATCAAAAAAATTGGCCGGGAATGGTAGCATGCGCCTATAGTTCCAGCTACTTGGAAGACTGAGGCGGAAGGATCGCCGGAGCCCAGCAGGTCGAGGCTGCGGTGGCCGGGAGCGGCCACTGCATTCCAGTCTGGGCGACAGAGTGAGACTCCAACTCAAAAAAAAAAAATCGAGAATCTAATGCCAACACTGATCTGACAGAAGATGGAGCTCCACTCGCTCGCCACTCACCTTCTGCTGTGCACCCAGGTTCCTAACAGGTCATGGACCAGCAGCGGTCTATGGTCCTGGAGGTTGGGGACCCCTGCTCTAGAGCAGTGATCCTTAGCCCATTTTTCATTACTAGATGGGAGGCTGAGGATCATTCTTTAGCTGATGGCTTTATTGGCACAGCCATCACATCTGTTCACTCTTTGGTTGAGCTCTCTTTGCCCACCTCCATCTCCAACACTCACTCTTCATGAATATCTCCCACTGGAAAAAGACAACTCCAGTTGCTTCTGTATCCTCCTCCCACCCCAATTAAACCTACCCCTGTTGCTACTCTAATACAGATTAAAAGTACTTTTTGAGCATAAACTTTCATAATACTTCAGGGTTAGCTACAAATAACAGAAGAAAGCAAGGACATGTTTAGGGACAAAAAGGAAGGCCTAGCTCCTGACTTCCTCTTCATAACACTTAGATTCAGGCTCTGTATAAACAGAATACATGATGGTGTTCTAGCCCTTTCCTTCTCTCATGTTCACGTCAGACTGAGAGGGGAAGAAAAAGGCAGTCTGAGGTAATCCTATGAATATATTGTAGGTGAGAAGAATAACCAAAAAATTATTTTAAATCCACTATTTTCAAAACTACCTAAATCATCTCCATCATAACTCTTCTTGACTAAGAATGAGGGAGTGGGAAGGGAGGAGGAGAAAGGATGAGATGGGAATTAAATCAGTTTTTCTCACCTTTCAGCTCCTTATCAGTGTAATTGTGGGGACTGGTCACCAGCTCCTGCTTGAGCTTTTCCAGAAGAAACTTCACTACTGAAATATTCCAAGAGGACTTGATGCTACCACAAAGAGAAGAGGGTGAATAAGGCTGTCAGCCTTTTGAGAGCCAGACAAACGGAGATCCCCAGCACTAATCAACTTGGTGGTTAATCCCTCCATGGCATATAAGACAGGGTACAAGGGCAGGGGTGAGATCAAAGCCTTAGTCTCAATGCTGTATGGAGCATCCCCCTATACTTCCCTCTCCTTACAAAGTACCTTGTGATTCTTTTTCCTCAAGGGGACCGTACCTTTCAGACCCATTGAACCGCTTGTCATTGGTGATGTGGTTATGCACATTGTGGACCAGTTTCTAGGGGGGAAAAAAACAGAATCAAGCTAGGAGTGGATATTATGAAAGCTTTCCTCTGGTTCCTAGGGTAAAAAGGCATTGTCCCTATGGGGTTCTCTGCATGAAGCCTTCCCATAGCCCAGTTACCATTTTTGTAGATGCCCCTTCTAAGCAAGAACCTATTCAAGTTAGTATTTGTTAAGGGGCCATTTTTCCCCATTTTAATTAAATTTGTGTCAAGATTCCAGAAATATCCCTGGTCTTCTGCTCCAGAGTAATGTGATCACTAGAGCAGAGGGTCTCAAAACATTTCTGTGAACATACCCCTAATAGCAAGGGAAGAGCAAATATATACCAGGACTACTCCAAGTGGACATTCTTTAAAATTTATTATTTCTCTACTGAGCTTGTTCTGCTGTAATACTAGTGGGCATTTCTTGAAGTCCCCTATTCTTGCAAATTTTAAATTTTGCTTTAAAACATATCTGTATCGGCCGGGCTCAGTGGCTCTGCCTGTAATCCCAGTGCTTTGGAAGGCTGAGGCAAATGGATTTTCTGATCCCGCAGGTTCAAGACCCGCCTGGGCAACTTGGCAAGACCTCGTCTCTACAATAAATCAAAAAATTAGCTGGGCCACTTCAGTGGCTCAGCCTGTAATCCCGTGCCTTTGGGAGGCTGAGGTGAGTGGATTGCCTGAGCCTGTGGGTTCGAGACCCGCCTGGGCCACTTGGCAAGACCTCATCTCTACAATAAATCAAAAACTAGCCGTGCGTGGTAGCGCGTGCCTGTAGTTCCAGCTCCCTGGAAGGCTGAGGCGGAAGGATTGCCGGAGCCCAGAAGGTCGAGGCTGCAGTGGCTGGGAGCAGCCACTGCACTCCAGTCTGGGTGACAGAGTGAGACTCCAACTCAAAAAAAAAAAAAAAAAAAAATTAGCTGGCCGTGGTAGCGCGCGCCTGTAGTTCCGGCTACTTGGAAGGCTGAGGCGGAAGGATCGCTGGAGCCCAGCAGGTCGAGGCTGCGGTGGCCGGGAGCAGCCACTGCACTCCAGTCTGGGCGACAGAGTGAAACTCCAACTCAAAAATCAAAAACAAAAACATATCTGTATTTCTAGCCGGGCGCAGTGGCTCAAGCCTGTAATCCCAGCACTTTGGAAGGCAGGGGCGAGTGGATTGCCTGAGCTCAGGGGTTCAAGACCAGCCTGAGCAACATAACAAGACCTTGTCTCTACAATAAATCGAGAAATTAGCCAAGTGTGGTGGCACATGCCTGTGGTTCCAGCTACCTGGAAGGCTGAGGTGGAAGGACTACTTGAGCCCAGCAGGTAGAGGCTGTGGTGACTGTGAGCAGCGTGCCACTGCACTCCAGCCTGGGTGACAGGGTGAGACTCCGACTCAAAAAAAACAAAAAACATACCTGTATTCTTATACAAATGTTTTCTGAAATCTTCTAGTAAAATTAATGACCCAGGAAAATGCCTCAGGTTTGTCCATGGCTTTATATATTCCTTTGCACATTACCACAAATCTCAAGGGTATATACACCATGGTCTAAAATAACAGAAATGTCGCCAGGAACAGTAGCTCATACCTATAATCCCAGCACTTTGGGAAGTCGAGGCAGGAGGTTTGCTTGAGCATAAGAGTTCAAGACCAGCCTAGGCAATATAGCGAGATCTCATCTCTACAAAACATTTTTAAAAATTAGCCAGGCATGGTGATGTGCACCTGTAGTCCCAGCTACTTGGGATGCTGAGGTAGAAGGATTGCCTGAGCCCAGGAGGTCAAGACTGCAGTGAGCCATGATTGCATCACTGCACTCCAATCTGGGTGACAGAGTGAGACCCTGACTCAAAAAATAAAAATAAAATAACAGAAAGGTGAATTAGAAAGGCTCTCGGAGACTCTCTCACTCAGTCTCCCTTTCACATCATTAAACAGGTTATCTTTCAGCTTTGCTTGTACACGTCTAGCAAAGGATGAGTTCTCCTTTTTGAGTCAGCTTATTTGCTGTTGAACTTTTTTTTTATTTTTGAGTCGTAGTCTCACTCCATCACCCAGGCTGGTGAATCTTTTTCGACCTGCTGGGCTTAGGTGATCCTTCTGCCACAGCCTGCTAAGTAGCTGGGACTACAGACACACGCCACAACACCTGGCTAGTTTTTTTGTGATTTATTGTGGAGATGAGGTCTTGCCAAGTTGCCTGGGCTGGTCTCGAACCCCTGGGCTCAGGCAATTCTCTCGCCTTGGCCTCCCAAAGCGCTGGGATTACAGGCTGAGCCACCACGCTCGGCCCAAAATTTTTTTTATTTTTTTTTGAGTTAGAGCCTCACTCTGTCACCCAGGCTGGAGTGCAGTGGTTGCTCCCGGCCATTGCAGCCTCGACCTGCTGGGCTCTGGCGATCCTTCCACCTCGGCCTTCCGAATAGCTGGAACTACAGGCACGCGCTACCACATCCAGCTAATTTTTGATTTATTGTAGGATGAGGTCTCGCCAAGTTGCCCAGGCGGGTCTCAAACCCGCGGGCTCAGGCAATCCATTCACCTTGGCCTCCCAAAACGCTGGGATTATAGGCTGAGCCACCGAGCCTGGCCACAAAACTTTTTAACAAGTAAATCAAAAATTAGCCGGGCGTGGTAGCACATGCCTGTAGTTGGAAGGCTACTTGGAAGGCTGAGGCGGAAGGATCACCGGAGGCTAGCAGGTCGAGGCTGCGGTGGCCGGGAGCGGCCACTGCACTCTAGTCTGGGTGACAGAGTGAGACTCCAACTCAAAAAAAAAAAAAGTTTTGCCTTAGATGCTTTAAAATATGATCCCCATAGCTGCGCCTGAAATGTTTGAAGACAGGGTTCATGAACTCCCTAAGTCATCTCCTATCTGGTCCAAATACCCCCATGTCCTTCAGGCATTCCTTGTGACATAGTTTCCAGACAGGTTCCTCATCAAACTATGAAGCTTCTGGTTTGTCAGTGTCCCTCTTACAAGGTGGCACCTGGAACTGAATCTAACTCATCAGTTGAGGTCTGGGCAAAGGGAGCATTACTTCACTGAGTGGAATACTTCTAGGAATGAAACCCAAGATGGTGTTACCTTTCTCAGTAACCCCACCCCTATTCACAGTGTCACAGTGTTTATTCATGGTGAGTTTATAATCAACACAAGTCTATTTTTCACACAGATACTGTCTCTACCATTCTGCAACGATTTTATTTTTATTTTTAAATAGAAACAGAGTTCTTGCTCAGTCACTCATACCCATGCTGGAGTGCAGTGGCACAATCATAGCTCACTGTAGCCTTGAACTCCTGGGCTTAAGCAATCCTCCTGCCTCAGTCTCCCAAGTAGCTGGGACTACAGGCACATACCAAGTATTATTTTTTTAGTAGAAACGGGGCCTCACTTTGTTGCCCAGGCTGGTTTTGGACTCCTGGCTTTAAGCGATCCTTCCATTTTGGGCTCCCAAAGTACTGGAATTCCAGGCGTGAGCCACCTTGCCCAACCTATTTTTTTGTTTGTTTGAATTTAATGTAGGATTTTACATTCTCTTCTATTAAGTGTAGTTTTGTTTCTAAATATATTTTCAGCCCAAGCTCCCTCAGTCAATGGAATTTACCCAGTCCCATATTTGGCTCCATATTCAGAAATCCCCAATTTATCCTTCCACCTCTATAGCTGACTGATCATACCAACTTAGGAAAGTACTGTCGGCCAGGCTCGGTGGTTCAGCCTGTAATCCCAGCACTTTGGGAGGCTGAAGTGAGTGGACTGCCTGAGCCCAGGGGTTCGAGACCCACCCGGGCAACTTGTCGAGACCTCATCTCTACAATAAATCAAAAATTAGCCGGGCATAGTAGCACATGCCTGTAGTTCCGGCTACTTGGAAGGTTGAGGCGGAAGAATCACCGGAGCCCAGCAGGTCAGGGCTGCAGTGACCCGGAGCGTGCCATTGCACTCCAGTCTGGGCGACAGAGTGAGACTCCAAGTCAAAAAAAAAAAAAAAGAGAGAGAGAGCACTGTCAACTCTTTATGGCTAGGGTCTTTACTCTGTAAAAAAGGACTATTACTATGCTAGTTTTATATTTGGTATAGTTATTTTACCTCTTAGCAGTCCAAACTTAAGGAGTCACAAAGGAATGGGTAAATGTCTCAGGAAGTATCTGGGAGGGTTTCAAAAACAAGAAGGAGGCCAGGTGCGGTGGCTCAAGCCTATAATCCCAGTACTTTGGGAGGCCAAGGTGAGAGGACTGCCTGAGCCTGTGGGGTTTGAGACCAGCCTGGGCAACATGGTAAGACCTTGTCTCTACAGTAAAACAAACAAACAAAAACAAATAAAAAACAAGAAGGAAAAAAGGGAGTTGCAATCTCTCAACTCAAGTAGCCTGGAAGAGATCAGCTGATAAAAAACTAGCTAGGCTTGAAGTGGAATGGGAAAATACTCTAGATAGTAATAAGTGTTAGGACTATAAAGGCTACGGGCTCACCTACCTCCTAAGTGAGCTAAAAATACATACATTTCCCCAAGGGGTGGCTGGGATCTGCAGTATTATAAGGAATGAAGAATTCTGATTTGGTCCTTTTGGGTCACAGGATTCCTAGCAGCAATCCACAGGAGCCCCAGCAGGTTGGAGAGCTGCCTCTGTAATTCCTTTCCAGAGCTACAGATTGGAATAGTGAAGATCTGCAACTATCCCTCCCCCTGCCTGGCCCTCTAGATTCTTTTTTTTTTTTTTTTTTTTTTAGTTGGAGTCTCACTCTGTCGCCCGCTCCCAGTCACTGCAGCCTTGACCTGCTGGGGCTCGGGTAATCCTTCCACCTCAGCCTTCCAAGTAGCTGGAATTACAGGCGCGTGCTACCACACCCAGCTAATTTTTTGATTTATTGTAGAGATGAGGTCTCACCAAGTTGCCCAGGCGGGTCTCGAACCCAAGGACTCAGGCAATCCACTCACCTCAGCCTCCCAAGGCGCGGGATTATAGGCTGAGCCACCGAGCCCAGCTTCTAGATTCTTTCCAAACAAAATAACAGATCATAATGAGTGAGCATACTGTCCTCCCAATATGCCCTCAATTCCACTGAACTCTCCAAAGGGAAGGAAGAAGCCAGGCCCCAACACTATACCTAACTCTGGAGGCAGTAGGCAGGAGTGCAATGAAGTGATGGAAAATCTTGATTTTATGCAAATTATAAACTCATTACAGTCAATACGAACATTATATGGCTAAAGAACATCCCCATGGTTATCAGAAAGAAGCTTTTGGGCCCAGTTAATCCAAAAGACTATGGTCATCCTAGGTTTCTCAACCTCTTCACTATTGGCATTTTGAGCTAGATAATTCTTTGCTATGGGGGACTGTGGTGTGCATTGTGGAATGTTTAGCAGAATACCTGGTTTCTACTCACTAGATGTGAGTTAAGTAGAACTCTCCTTCCCCTCTCCCTACCCACCCACCAGCTGAAATGACAAAAATGTCTCCAGATGTTTCCAAGTGTCCCCTGGGGGCAAAATCACCCTAGGTTGAGAACTACTGCCCTAGAAGATCTCTGTGTTTGGGTCAGCAGCCAGGCTGGGGACTCCCTGCTCAGCAGGATGTTCCTAGGGCTTCCAGCTACTCCAAGAAGGCTTCAAGCTGACCTGGCCCAGGCCAGTCCCTTCCCTGCCAAGAGCTCTTGGAATGACTAGCATTTCCAAACCTTTATAACAGAGCTGAGTGTCAAGTAGCCCTCTGCATCTTTGAGGTTTGGGACCACCTCAGGACAACTTGGCTTTCTCCACCCAAGGGGCTCTCCCTTGCCACTTACCCTGCACACTGGCTAAATTTGCACTCGATTTCCAATGCTACCCTTTGGTGATCAATCTGCTCAATTTCTTAAATATCTTCCCATCAGGATGATCAAGATACTGAGAGATGTGATATAAAGGAAGATAGCACTTTATCTTGAAAAGCCTAAAAGCTCCATATATAGCAGGGGTCTGCCTATCCGTAAGGTTGCAGAATAATCTCTCTCCTTGTCCCTCCCGCTCCAGTAGGATTCAGTATACCATTCATCAAAATACGGGAGGCTTAAAATCAACTCATCCTTCATTCTTCGTTTATCTCTCCAGACTGAAGAAAAATTTATAGAAATTGAGCTCACTCACAGAGAGTACCAGATCCCGCTTGCGCCTGGAGTTCTTCTGCCCGCTCCCTCTGGTCCTGCATGGAGAAGCAGTGAACCCTAGAGAGTGTCTCAGCTCCCCAGTGCTCCCAGGGCCTGACTCTTCCAAGGCACCATCCAATGCAGCAGCAGCATTGAGCATGTCCTCGGGGCGGGGTGGTGGCAGCTTGGTTCCATTTTCTGGCCCTGTCTCTGAGGTTGCCCGCTGGATAGCCAGTTGTGTGGCTGGTGAGAGCTGCTTGGCATAAGCAGGGACCAGCACTCGCTGCACTGCACTCTCAGAGGCCACAAAATCATCCACCAGCTAAGAACGTAAAAAAGAATAGCCTATTAGCCAGCCAGGCGTAGGGGAACCTGCTCAACCATCATTCTTTGGCCAAGAATGGTAAACAGAGGGTAGAAAGAAGGGTGAATCTAACACAGTCTTTAATGGTCAATGGCTTGTTTCTCTGAGACTCCTAGAGGAGCGTTGGGCAAATACTTCTTGTGTGTAGAGAGCCTCTCGTGCTGTGTCGTTACTGGAGGTCTACTCACAAAGACAAGACATGTTTCTGATGCTCTGTTTGTAAGTACTCCATTATGTCTTGCTTTTACGTATAAGAAATGTAGTCAGGTAAGTATATTGTCTGAAAGGGATTGGGGGAAGAAGTGATGACAAGAAAGGAAAACGAAGCAAGAGAAGGAGAAAGAAAATAAAACAGTAACCACGATAAAGAGGATAAAAGAAAAATGAGAGCAAAGGAGAGAGCTATAAAGTCAGAAATCCCTAGAGAGGCTGGCAGTGACAGCCCCCTCCCCACCCCTACCTTTTAATCCCAGGGCCAGCCTATGCCCTCACCTTGATCCTGCCCTGGTCACATCTGACTGTCATGAGCCCTGACATCTACCTGACTGCCTGTGCCCTCACTCAAGGACATACAGGGCAGAGGAAGAAAGGAGGGAGAAAGGCAGAGAGAGGGAGGGAGAAAGGAGGGGGGATTTCTGCAGCCAAGAAAACAAAACAGTGAAAATGGGGGGAAAGACACACACACACACACACACACACACACACACACAGAAAGATGCGGGGGAGGAGGCTGAGATTTATAGACCTGTGAGCTGCTTTCTGCGATGTGAAATCTAATTCCATCCTGCCGGCTTGGAAGCCTTCCCTGCTCAAAGAACCCACAGCTCAGGGCAATGCCTGGCTTGATACCCTCCTGCAACTCAGGGCAATGCCTGGCTTGATACCCTCCTGCCTCCCATCTTCCAGTTCCTCCTCCCCTGGGCCAGAGCCACTGAGAGTCCTGACCAGACAGACTGGGGTGAGCAGCAGTGGCCATTACCCCCACGGCTGTGCCTTCAGGAGAGCAATGACCAGTTGCTGTGTTCCACTGGAGTGGGAGAGGGGAGTTTATGTATTCATTTCTCAGATCCAGCAGATGGGCTGGGATTTTCATCCCTCCCTTCTACCCCATGAGTTCTGCTACTTTACTCTTTACTGGGTGTCTATGCCTTTTGTAGGGAGAGGAGGAAGAGAGGGCAGACGGAGAACAAGGTGGAAGAGAGTTGACAGACCTCCCACCGTCTCTCAAGTGGCACCACATCTGTTATTTTCTCATCTCTATGATCGCTATGGTTTCTCCATCTCCTTTTCATACTTCCATGTGTGACATTCTGCAGTTCTGACTCTACTCAGCCAGGATTTGCCAGCTCATATGGCCCTGAAGCAGTAAGGAAACTGAAATAGCACCATGTACTTCTATGTCTTTTCCTGCTCACAAAATATGCTCACTGGCTTCCTTCTTTTCCTCCCTCTTTCTCCCTATATGTTATTCTCTCACTATGAACTCTCAATTGGCCATTTCGTTTTCACATTTTATTTCCTGTCCTCTACCTCCCTCCCGCCTTACTTCATGGTCTCTTGCTCACAGAAATTCTCCTCTTTCCACGTGGACTCACCTTTCTTCTATGCTCCATTTTTTCACTTTTTCTCCTTCCTCAACCCTTCGTTTTCACTGGCCTCCCTAGACTGTCTTCTATTATCTCTCTACCCTCTCACTTTTTCCTCCCCTCTCTCTCCACCTCTGCCTCTCTCCCCTGTATATCCCATTTCTCTTTGTACTAAACTCCTCTTGGCAAGCGGAGGGCCCGCAATAAAATATGAATGAGCCGTCTGTGCACGGCAGGCATCCTCGCCAGGAGAGGCAGAGCCCATGGAGCAGGCGAGACAGCTGTGGAGGAGAAGGTGCCATGCGGAGCTATTGAGAGGGAGGGAAGGGCACCCCTGTCACCACACACGCCAAGACACGACCTTCTGCCAAAAGGCTGACGGTTCAGGATGAAAACAGGAGCACTGACTACCCCTGGAGGCAAAGGATACTTGGTCCCATTTTATCACAAAGACAAACAAAAGGAAGGTTTAAAGATGGAAAGAGAACAGAGAGGAGAAGGGTGGGGGGAAGCAGGCAAAAGGCCGGGAAAAGTGCTCAGGAGCAACAACCCTCTGAGGCCATACTCACGGGGTTCAGCAGCGGGGCCCCCTCCCCGGCTGCCAGCGCACACCCTGGGAGTCGCACGTCTCTCTGCGTGGCTGGGAAGCCCAAAGAGTGCCGCAGCTCCTCGATCACCATCTGCACGCCGCTGCCCACGCTGTCACACTCCTCTTCCATGGCAGACAGAGCCTTGCAGGCTTCACCCGGACTCTCCTTGAGAGGCCCAGGCTCCTCAGGTAGGGCACTATGGGCCTGGCTTTCTCCATCTTCGTCAGGGGTGGACACTTTCCCTTGCCTCAGCTCATTCACTTCCTCCTGGAGGCGTTTTAACAGCTCATTGTTGGCCCTGGCAAGACCCAGCGCGGCTTCAGCCAGACCCACTGCCTTGTCCACCCGCTGGTAGATAACATGCAGGAGCTGCTCCGAGCTCTGAACGGCAAGGCCATGTCCGGTCACTGTGATGGGGGTGCTGGGAGGAGGATTCCCACCCTGAGAGCCTGTGCTGCCCCCACTAGTCTCACTCTTACAGGCGCAGCAGCAGCATCGGGCCTCGCTACCACTGGGAGGGGAGAAGAGAATGGTAGCACTGAAGGACATGGCCGACAGCAGTAACAACAACACTCACACTGCTGGGCAGCTCCTACAGGTTGGAAGCACGGGTCTCTGTGGGCTCACTTTCCTTTCTCAGTGAGGGTGGACAGAGGAGCCCGGGCAGCAGGCCGTGGGCTCTGTGAAAGAGGAGCAGGCCAGCTGTGAAGGAGCACACTGTCCATGGTGGCCTCTCCTTGGCCTGCCGAGGGGAGCCTTCTTCTATTTGCAGTCCCTGTGCTCTCCTAGAACAACACACTGGGTGATGCCTACACAGGCCACCCTGATGAACATGGTTTCAGAGGGTAGAGGGCATTCTTTCTGTGCCCCAGCAGGGAACTCTGGAACCTAAAGAACAAAGAGGGAACTCAGAAGGACCCACCAGCATCTGGAAAGATGAGAAGATTAAGGAAGAAAACGTAGGTCTGTCTCCTCCTCACTATCTTTACTGTAATAGTAGAAACACATTTCATTGCTTTGACATTGTTCCTTAAGGAGTTCAGAACACTTCATGTAAGTTACCTCATCTACACAACAGCGCTAGGAAACACATGTTACCCCAAGTCCAACATGCAGAGAAGCTGTCTTTCTTTTTCAAGGTCAGAGGAAGACAGCAGATCCAGTTATTGCTACTTTCATTCTAGTGTTGTATTTTTTTTCAACTGATACCACTTTTTGTTGACATGAACAATCACGAGTCTACCCTCTCGATAATTTTCATAAAGATGCATTCAGAATAAGATTTCTACATAAAGAAAACATCGATCACTATAGCCCTCAACATGTCACCAACCTCTCACTATTACATCAATAATGCTTTGGGGATGAGGGTGGGGAAATGAAATGAAAAAGTGGATCAGGCCGGGCTTGGTGGCTCAGCCTGTAATCCCACGTCTTGGGAGGCTGAGGTAAGTGGATTGCCTGAGTCCGCGGGTTCAAGACCCACCTGGGCAACTTGGCGAGCCCTCGTCTCTACAATAAATCAAAAATTAGCTGGGTGTGGTAGCGCGTGCCTGTAGTTCCAGCTACTTGGAATGCTGAGGTGGAAGGATCACCAGAGCCCAGCAGGTCGAGGCTGCAGTGGCCGGGAGCGGCCACTGCACTCCAGTCTGGGTGACAGAGTGAGACTCCAACTCAAAAAAAAAAAAGAAAAGGAAAACTGGATCAGTCCATTTTCAACTGCTGATTATTATTTTATTTTTATTATTTTTATTTATTTTTGAGTTGGAGTCTCACTCTGTCCCCCATACTGGAGTGCAGTGGCATGCTCCTGGCCACTGCAGCCTCAACCCGCTGGGCTCTGGCAATCCTTCCGCCTCAGCCTTCCAGGTAGTCGGAACTACAGGCGCGTGCTACCACACCCGGCTAGTTTTTGATTTATTGTAGAGACGAGGTCTCACCAAGTTG